TACATTATGGAAAATAATGACCTTTATCACAATATGCTAATTTTTTGAGAAGGACCTGTACATAGATAGTTTTATTTGAAGGTATTGTAAGAATCATATCAGAGAATAGAAACAAAACAAAGTTTTATATTACATACATCAAACCCCTAAGTGCACAGGTTGTTTATCTTGACATGTTTCAAACAAGTATTACTGTCCGAATATCATTATCATGTTTGTCACGTTCTGAACTCAGGTTCAACTGAAAGAAAGTTACTTCCTTGCTGCTCACTTGGCATTGTGGGTAGATGAATCAGCATCTCCATAAAGTGCTCTGAAGTTTCCAAGTGGATGGCTGCACCATGAGACGATATCAGAAGAAATCTAGCTGGACTAAAGAGGAAAAGCGCTGGACTGTTGCTCGATGGTCCAACGTCCTCTTTTCACATGAAAGTAAATGTCACGTTTCATTTTCACGTTCAAGTCCCAAAGTCTGGAAGAAGAACGGAGAGGCACAGAATCCAAGCAGCCTGAGGTCCAGTGTGAAGTTTCCACAGTCAGTGATGATTAGGAGCCCCGTCATCTGCTGGTGCTGGTTTTATCAAGTCCAGTTCAATTAACCTTTAAATTAAATTAACCACCGAGCTACCACAGCCCTCTGTGTGGAGCAGAGAGCTGCCATGTAAGGCGCCTGGGGGAGCCCTTAAAGCCCTTGCTCAAGGGCAAAAGAGTGTGGAGGCAGGTGTGAGTGCTTCATCTTTCCCACCCACATTTTTGACGTTGTTGATCCAGGAGTTTAACCGGCGACCTTCTTTAACCTCTGCGCCACCACGTCCTCATTAAACAGCATTAGTAAAAATGCTAAATAAAAATTTGACTAAAAAAAATCTACCAGAAGACTTATCTACAAACAACCTATAAAGACAAATAAATAAATAAAAGTTGAAATGCAGCACAGAGCCATCAGTCATTTTCCAAACGGTACGGTTTTATTCGGAGGGCTCCAGGGTGGGGGAGGACTCTCTTGAATTATTGCTTGTACTTGTCTGTCCCTCCATCTTTTCTTCTGCTCCTGGTCCTTTCTCGTCTGATGGGGGACAAAAAAGGAAATCTAAACAATTGGTTCATTTAAAAATCTCATCTGAAAGGTAAAAATAAATCTCTAAAACGTCACGGAGAAACTTCAAGACTAGGATGAAAGCCAGCTCCTCGACAAACCAGAAACAGTCATTTTTAGTAAAGAATCAGTAGAAGAAACGTTTCTTTCATGAGACGACCTGCGTCTCTTCTGTTTCTGGTCCTTTCTACTCACCAGCCAGCTCTCAAATTTCTCTAAAGCCATCTTGTCCCTTTCTTCTTTCAGGCACTGCTTTTCCTTCGCTTTGCTTTGGTTTTGTTCGCGTTCAATCTCCAGATCTTTGCGAAGAACATCTTTCTTCTTTTCACACCTTAACGATGTAAAAACAACTCAAAATCAGTGTTATGGTGAAACGTCCAGCTGAGGCTGCCATCTTGTGGTTTGTGGTGTAAATTGTAATTGTTTTGTTATAAAAACACGGATCGGTGAACATCTACATCTAAAGGTACTTATTAAATAAAGTGATATTGAGTCTCACCAGTCAGAAAAAGCAGACTTGTTGATTTGCTTCTTCTCTTCTTCTTGCTCTTGTTTCTGCAGCTGAAGTTTATCTTCAGCTTCTTTCTGTTGTCGGCGTTTCTCTCTCAGCAGGTGACCTCGTTCCTCCTTCCACTTCTCGAACACCTTTTAGTCGTTACAGAAATGCTCATTAACGTCAAACTATTAAAGTCCCACAGCTTCCACCTTGAATAAGCTCTTTACCTGTTTAGCACACTGTATTTTCTCTTGTTTCTCCTCAGTTGCTTTTTGTTCTTTTCTCGTCTTCTCGTTCCTTTCTTTTGCCTTGGCTCTGAGGATTTCTGTTTTCTTTTCCTTCCAAGCTTCATAAGAGGCATCGACGTCTTCCTTTTTAGACTCTTGTTCCTGTTTTTTAACAGGGAGATGGTTAGTTGTGAAATAACTGTTTTCATTACGTTCTTCTGGGATGGTGAGCTGCAGTCACCTGCTGTTCCTTTTCTTTTAAACGCTGCTCTTTCTTCTTCAGCTCAATGTTGCGTCTTGACGCTTCTCTTTTCTTTTTTAGCCATTCCTGTTGTGAGCATGAAGAGTTTTATTCAGTTAAAAATGCCCGCAACAAACTATTTATGCCATAAAAACATCACCGTTTAGAATTAGATTAAAGATAGTCCATATTTTAATGCTTGGAATGAAAATACAGATTATTTCCCCTGATGTCCAAATAAAAAGGGAAGTATGTATATACTGGTAATTAACTCACTTTCCCTTGCCTTTGATTAACATGTTTGCATGCTTTTGTTGTTTTATGATTCCAGTTCCCACAGATCAGAGTGTGTATCTCTGCAGCTCGATTGTGACATCTTCATAACCACGCCTTCAGTATCTGCATGGCTTTTTAAATCAGATATCTACGACAGCCTTTTTATATTTTATCTCTGGAGCTGCCTCCTCCTGTGCCAGTTTGGTCTAAACCACGCCATATTTACAGATTAATGCAACAGCTGAACGACCGCAGAGCCCATGGATTCGTCCCAGTAACATTTTTAAAACCAGACAGGTGGAGCACACAGAGGAGTTTAGAACAAGTTTATTAATTATTGTGCTGATTCGTTTCCAGGTCCTCTCAAATAATGCTCATGGTGCTCTGATCAGGGTCACAGAGCCTAAATGTTAGCATGCCTTGCTCTCATCAGCTCAGAAACAAACGGAGGTAAGTCAGATGAGTTATTCTAATCCAAAGGATTTGGATATGCTTCAGAGAATCTGGTCCTTGGGCACCTCAACAGAAACAACCTTAGCATAACAGCAGCTAAAACAGCTAAATTCTAACACAGCTGAAGATCAAAAGCTTTTATTGCTTTTGACAGAGTATGAAACAAGTGAGATTTTGACCCATTATTTATCAGGCATTACTGTATTTTGACCCGACAACTACTATAAACTAAAAGCAGCAGAAGTTATGTGATTCTGGATAAAATAAAAATAAAAATGATCTTTCAGATTTAGTTGGAAGCTCCTAACTGCTTCTTTTCGTTTCACCAAGGCTCACGCAGGTTAATTAAAGGTCAGTTTTATATTAAAAATCAATGCAATTCATTTCCACATCTCTTTAGTATTTTATGTTCATATCACGGCATTCTTTTACATCGAAATAAATTAAAAGGATTAGTACAAAACTTTGTAACTTAACCAAACATTTAGGTCATTTGTCTCACAGACTATTGAGAAATTATCCTGCAGTTAATTCAGTATGCTAAGGTTTCTCTGCATGTCCCTACTAAACAAATGTTTTGACGTAATTACAGCGTTTCAGAGGAAGCAGCCTGCGTCAATGAATAACTGAATTGTTTGGGGTTGTTTCATTTTAAAACTACAGACACTGACAGTCTATCTGGCCTGTTTACACAAAGTCTCAGCGTTCACACTTAAAACTCAAGCAGTGTGGGCGCCTGTGGGGCTGAAAATGACAACAAAGACCCTGACCTGGTAAACTGCTGCCCTGACAGAATCTGCTGCTTTTGGCTGGGACTCTTGTAGAGAAACTTTACGGTCCAGAACTTTTAGAGCCCCCAAGTACTTCGATTCTACCTTTTTGGAGCACGCACTGTGAGACCTCGTGCTAGAAGTGGATGTCCTGTGACCGAAAAACAAACAAACTTATTGTCACTTATCTTTCTGCGTCGTACGTTATCTCGATTAGTTTGACCTCCATACTCACATGGTGTCCAACGATTCATCAGGGGCATGAGAGAGTTGATTTGAGGTATCTCTTGAGCATCCCTGAGAGAAGAATAAACGTAGATTTACACTGATGTATGAAAGACCGAGTCCTGATGAATAAGGCATGGCTTTTCTTACATTAAATTCTTCAAACAATGAGTAGTTTTTCTCTGCTTCTTTGCTGTCATCAGAAATAAAAGCATCTAAAACAGTAAACCAAATATTATTCCAAGGAACAGCTCATAATAATGATTTAAAATAATAATAAAAAAAAAACCCAGACGTTACCTCTGGAGCCAGAATCCAGCGTGGATTTAGTAGCGAGTTGCGACTGTTTGCTCTTATTTGAAGAGGATTTGCTGAGGTCAGGTGAAACTGAGTGATCTCCGTCAGTCTGCTGCCGTCAAACAACATAAACAAAACTTGTTTACTTTGCATCCTAAAACACATGATGATAAACATAAAATGTAAACTTGATTTACTTACAGCAGTGCTGCTGTATGCATCAGAGAGAGGGGCTGACACAGAGGACGCCAGGGGCCCGTTTAAATCCGGAGGTGCAGTTTCTTCAGCTGTTCTTTCTGTAACGCGTGGCTTTAATCCGAGAGTCCTTTGTCGAGGTTTGGGTTTAGGCGGCTCCCTCTCTGAAAAGCAGAAATCAGAGCATAATGTCTGTGTGGATCTTTAAAAAGTATGATGTGTCATAAAACACTGACCAGCTGAAGAAGTGTTGTTGAGGAGAGATGTTGATGGAACCTCAAAGGTTTCTCCCAACACGGAGTTCCTCTTCTGCTCCGTTGGACCTGGCGCTTCCTCCACGCTGCTGCCAGACGTTGGAGGCAAAGGCAGAGTATCGTCTGATGTTTTAGATGACTGACTTGTGTTCTCCGTCGTGAGCTGAGGATCAGAAAACTCCACACTATTTTTAACCTGTGTATTTTCTTCATTTGTGGAGTGCTGGGAAGAAAAGGAGCCATTATTATTGTCACATGCGTCAACAGAAGACCCCAGTGGCTTGTCTTCGTGGGCCTCTGAAGCTGCTTTGTCTTTAGAGTCTGAGCTGCTTCTTTGAGATTTCAGGAAGGAAACCTTCTTCGGCCTGCTATGTTTGTCTTCATCGTCATCTGAAAGGTCAAACGTCTTCAGTTTTGCCTTGGCCTTCCCAGCCTTAAACGCATCAATCCTGCTTTTTTTTGAACGGAGAAGTTTGTTGAAAAATTCTGAAACACAGGGAGTAAAAGGAGAATCAGAAAGTGTACAAGTTCTGGTGATTTGATCCTCTGAGCATTTACCATCTTCTTCGTCGATGTTATTAAAATTAGACAATTGTTCTGCTTTTGTTCTGCTTGCCCTGGAGGACACAGCTGCCTGAAGTTCATCCTGCGACAAAGAAATTACAGTTTAAAAGTTTATCACAATTCTATGGGATCATTTATTAAATGGACTGTACTTATAGCGCCTTTCTGTCTTAGATACTCGGAGAACTTTACAATCTGTGTCCTCATTTACCCATTCATACAGCACTCTATATCTTTACAAAGAGTAATCAGAGCTTTAGATCACATTCATGCACCGATGGGACACACATTGGAGGCAGGGAGGGGTTCGGTGTCTTGCCCAGGGACACTTCGGCATGTGACTGCTGGAGGCATCGAGCTCTCCCACTGGAGGACGACTGCTCCACAGCCGCCCCATATTACCGGTGTTTATTAATAAATACAAAACAGAGTGTATATAATTAACATTTCCTACCTGAAATGTTGTTCTTTTTAACGTTTTCGGGCTTTTTGAATACGCAAGTGTGGTCACCTCCTGATCTGTCATCGTGACACTGCGACTTTTCTCTAAAGACACATTAGCATGTTAGCTAATGTTTGCTAAAGCTAAGAAGCCTGTAAACTTGAGGCTCTGCGACAAAAATAACGATGTGCTAACTTTGATACTTTCAGCCTTGTGCTTTTGCTAACAATATTCGTGTTAATAACGAGGATTGTTGTGTAACCAGAAGCCTCACGAGCCAAAAGCCAATGGAGCTGTTGTCGGTTACCACGGAGACGGAACTTCCGGTTTACACAGCGCGCATGCTCACAACTGAACAGGATGTTTTGTTTTTGTTATAGTAAATTTTCAGGTTTTTCACACATAGAAATAAAAAAAAATATATAAAAATAGTGTTTGAAAGCTTACAATTACTTAATTTTTTTTTTAATCCTTAAATATTACAAGTCCACTTTTTTATACAATCCAGGATAAAGCCAAATAATAATGTAAAACTGAAACCTCAGAACAATAATTACATTATCTATCTGCCAAATAAATGCACATTCGATTAAAAAAAAAGGTATATACCATAATTAACTAATTCACCTCCAATTTTTAAAAGGATGAAATAAGCACCATGTATTTTGGTGAAAATATTTTGTTGAAAATATAAACTTTTGTAAAAAGTATGATTACAGAAAGAAAAGTGTGGGCTTATAACAAAACAGACAAGCCATTAGGACTTAGTTTTTTTATTTTGTTGTTGGAAAAGTGCATAGTTGAAGCCCTTTCAATTTTTTGTCATTCAAAGTCTCCTGCGATACTAAATAGTTCATGTATTCATCTCTAAGAAATAATCTATTCCCTCATCACTGTATACAAAAATTCAAGATTACAATTCTTACAGCTGTTCCCTGCTTTTCCTCTAAACATTTCTGTAGTGTTGCGTTACTATAAGTAAGAGACATTGATATGAAAATAAAGAGTTACCATTTATCCAAAGAACCTGCAATAATACGAGTAACATGATATTCATTCTGGATGTAAATGAAGGCCCACACACAGTTTAATGACCAAGTAAAGATGATCACAGAGTGTAGTTCGACCTAAAAATCAAAGAAAATCTCAAAAGGTTGGTGAACAGATGGTGCCACCTTTTAGGTAAAAGGGGAGGAAAATATGACGTAAATGTTGATGCATCAGTGAAAAAACTGTTCCCACTAAATTTTATATGAAAAAAGTACACAAAAACACAAACCCTTCAACAAAAACTTTTGCAAAAAGTGCAATAAATGCAACTAAAAATCCAGAAATTGGCACAGTTTAAACATGTGTTCACACTCAGATCACTTAGTTCAAATCAGAACATCATACCTTCAAAAGGAATCAGAACTGCTTAAAATGTTTTTTGTTGTTGATTTTGGTTTATCTCAAGGAAAACAAACGAAACCTTCTCACTTTGTTCGCCCAGAGTTTATCATCTGGAAATCACGGCCTGCAACGAGTTGCATCATTTTAAAAGGTATCTCTGCCAGGTCTACAAAATAAATATTTATAATATGAAACTATGCTTTTGTCATGTCAATCTCCCTCACACACACAAGCCAAGTGATATTTAAAGGGGCAAACCATCCACAAGAATCAGATCATAAAGTGGACCCGGCTGTTTTTGGTATAATTTCCCCCCATGGTGTGATCTCATTTTTGTCATTAGGCTGGTTTAATTAAGCCGTCGACACCTGATGGGACGCAACATCATTACAGTACCTTCTTACAGTTTGTAACTTTCAACAAGTGAAAAAGAGGAATGTTTCAGACATAAGAACACGCCATCACTCAGCAGGGACTTCCCTGAAACCCCTGCCCTCTGCCATGATGGTGTGACCCATTCTTCATGAACTTAGTCGAGTTTCTAAGAACCCATGGGCAGCAGAGGCAGGATGAGGAACCAGCTTTAAACCCTGACGCACCTTCTGATTAAAGACTGAAGTAACTAAAGGAACCCGACTGATACTTAAAATACAACAATCCTGGGTTGTAATAGAATTCAAGCTGGAAAGAGTTTGTGTAATTATGTTCAATTATTAACTTCATGAAATTAATATTTGATCACACAACACTTTTTATTGTAATCTGATATTATTATCTTGTTTTGTTTATATTATATGTTGATCTCAAAGAGATTATTACAATAAAACCTGTGCTGGTGTTACTGACATACAGTGTCAGTCGGGCTCCTGTAAACAGAATAAACAAAAATCAGTTTTAACAATAGGATATAAAGGAAAACAGAGAGAGAGAGAGGGCTGACAGGGAGCTGCAGCAGTCCTGGTCAGTCTGAGCAGCTTGATGGTTGCTGGTGCTCCTGCTCCTCTGTTAATCCACAGGCGGTGCTGGAGGCTCCCGTCTTTCACTCTGAGGAGCAAAATGAAAGTTACATTAGTTTATAAAACAGAAACAACGAGAACATCCAAAAACATCACCAAACCAATAACGAGTTCATATAAAACAGGAGTATTTGAAAGCCTTATTAAGCACTAAAACCAGAATGCCAGTGAAGCAAAGTCCTTAGCTGCAGCTTATTTACATACAACCCAGTGACGCGTTACTAAAAACCAGAGGCTCGTACAACAACATAGTACTGGAGCTGCCTCAGAGGTAAGAAGTTACATCAGTAAGAACACTGTTTCTGAGCAACTACTATAATCAAACAAACTTTTTGTGTCTAGAGATATTAAGACATTATTTTTTGTATATTTCAATCAGAAGCATCTAAATAGCTTGACTTTTACTAAAAACAATTTTTGAAGACATCTCAGTAGTCTAAACTTTAAAGAACTTAAAAGAAACGTGTTCCTCTAAAATTGATGACGTTTTAAAGATTTGGAGTTAAAAGTTATTTGGTTTCTCATTTCAAAATTACAACTAACAGACTTAAAAGTTTTTGTGTTCCTCTAGACATATGGACATCATACACTACTTTAAATGATTTTAAATGAAAGTTAGTTATGGAGTTCCTCAGAGTTCAGTGCTTGGACAAATACTCTTTACCTGATATACGTTTCCATTAGTTAAAGTTATTAAACAGCATGGGATACATTTTCATTGTTATGCTGATGATACACAATTATATTTGTCCATGAAAACCAATGAATCCAATCAGTTTCTTAGACTACAAGCATGTCTTAAAGACATAAAAACCTGGTTGACCCTAAATTTTCTGCTTTTAAACTCAGACAAGACTGAGGTTTTAGTTTTTGGACATGAGCATCTTAGGAATGAATGTTTCAGTCTTCCTCTCTCCTTAGATGGCATTAATCTGGCCTCCAGCTCTAATGTTAAAAATATTGGTGTTATTTTTGATCAGGACATGTCTTTTACCCCACATCCAGAATAGAATTCAAAATCTTACTTCTAACCTACAAAGCTCTCAACAACCTAGCTCCATCTTATATTACAGATCTTATTGTTCCATATTTTCCTAACAGAGCATTCACTCTCAGACTGTAGGTTTACTTGTGGTTCCTAGAGTTTCCAAAAGCAAAATAGGAGGAAGATCTTTCAGTTATCAGGCTACTCTCTTGTGGAACCAACTTCCAGTTTCTGTCCGTGAGGCTGACACATTGTCCAGTTTGAAGACTGGGATTAAGAGTTTCCTTTTTGATAAATCCTATAGTTAGGGTTGGCTTGTTATGCTGCCATAGGCTTAGACTACTGGAGGACAAATTGATATCACTTCCTTAAATGAATTGCTAAAATTGATTGAATAGATGTCCAGATGACCTGACTGAACATCGTTAGATTTTTACCTGGATTATTGAACATGAACTTTGGTGTTAAAATTGAATAGTTTTCATTTGAAATTATTTCTATGTTAACATGTGATTCTCAACCTGCCATTGTGTATCTGTTCCTCTCAAACCCAGCCGGTTGAAGCAGATGGCCTCTTGTCCTGAGCCTGGTTCTGCTAAAGGTTTCTTCCTCATGAGGGAGTTTTTCCTTTCCACTGTCGCCTTCATGCTTGCTCAAGATGAGAGTCTGCGATGAAGTTAAACTCAAAGCAGTCTGCTCCTCAGATAAATAATGTTAAATTATTATTTTTAATATATGAATGTTTCTGTTCAGTGCCCTGAGATGACTTCTGTTAAGACTTGGCGCTATACAAATAAACTGAACTGAATTTTAGTACTTTCGTACATTTACGATCTATTTCATGAAATTATTTAAAAAAGTTTCCCATCAAAGCATTTACCGTCTTAGACAATCCACTATGGATTAATCTGGTTAATCCAAGAGGTTTTTTACAACTGGAAATGTTTTAATTGTTCAAAACTTCTACAGAGAACTGCACTTCAAAAGATCTGAACTACCCTTGTAAGATGGATTAGATACGTTGAGCCTTCTTCACAGTCCAGAGTAGAGCTCACAAAGGTGGCTTGATTGTGAGATACAGTTACAGTAATCTGCAAGTGAGTAATCAGATTACAAAGCATAAATTATTGGAACGGTTTCTTTAAGAGGTTGTGATGTCTTAAAATGTATTTGTCTGTTGGTGCAGGCTGACAGAGAAATTTAACGAACAGATATTCATTTATCACCCTCATATCTAGGAGCTCGGTTTCTACCTCGTGTGTCTGTAGTCGTTTCGTCAAACATGAAAGCAAAATCTGCAGAACGGAGGAAACGACACGTTTCTCCAACCCTCGTTTCAAAATACAAAACATAGGTTTTTGGCTTCCATTTTGTTGTAATAAACTTTTATAAAGCAGCCTGATTGGAACTTTAGTTGGACATAAAGAAACAGAAAGTCACATAATGAAGAGATAACAGATGAAACAGAACTTTTTGATTTGACTCAAGGATTACGAACACTGACCAGAACACTGTGTTACTCAAAGTGTTTTGTTTGAAATGTTTCAGGCCATCCCTCTTTTTTTTTATCTTTCAAAGTGTCTTGAGCACATTTTGTGTCAAGTTTTCTGCTATGAGCCAATGAGTGTTAGTACCTTTTAATATCAGAAATGATTTTAGGTCAGTGAGAAGTGGCTCAAATGAAAACATAAAACAACATTTGCCTGGAAAAAAGAAGAAGCTCTAAGACTGATGAGAAAAATACTAAATAAAAGATGCCAAAGGGGGAAAAAAACACTTTAAAACCACTTTAAAAGTTTACAAAAAACAGAAATGGTTTAAAAGTTCTATTTAAAATAATTCAACTTTAAAAGGTATCAGGAGAATAACTAACAAAGGGAATCAATACTGAACTGCCAATTTACTAAGAACAAGTCATGCTTTTTACTGCTGTTGTACTTTTTCTACTTTCTTATGCCAGTAAGTCAATTATTTAACTTTTAATGAAACTATGTTTGGTAAACTTTTGTCTCTGTGACACTGCTGTCTTTGTCATGAGAAAAGACTCTGCACTGACGTGATGAGGTCCTGAGGGTTTTCCTGCAGGGCGAGCTCCCCTGAGACCAGATGGGCGCAGCAGAAACAGGACCAGGGCCACCACCACCCAGCCCATCAGGACCATGGACAGGGTCAGGTCACCTCCTCCACCTCCTGGCCCACTGGGTCCTGGCACTGCGCAGAAACACGTGTAATCTAAAACCGTTTTGTTGTGACGTGAAGCAGAAGAGGAGGCTCTACGTACGCTCTTGAGGGCACTCTATGTCCGTGCAGTAGGACTGAGATTGTCTGAGCTGAAACAAAAAACATTAAATATCAACTCAGATCATCAGCGCTCATGTGCAAAAAGAAAAACATGCATGTCTCCCTTAACACACTGCTAATTATAACATGAAGTCACACACGATAAGAATTACTACTTGTTTCCTGAAATATCTGACTCATAAACTCTGTGTTAGTTCATTTTGACTACACCCTTTATGTGAGAAGCAAATCAGAGAGCTCCGAGTGGCTTCAAGCCCTCAGCCAACTGCAACCTGCCATGCAAGTTACACCTGAGCACAAAAAGAAAATAAGGTCATCTGAAAACTGAGACAAAGTGAAGAAAGGGGGTTCTTTTAATCCAACTCAGATCTAATCTTTCACACTTCTTATATCTGCCGATTAGAGCCGGAGTTAACCAACAAGAGCAAACGTTGATATTTGACCACGTGGCAGAGAGAAAGATGTGACTGCAGAGCTCTGCTACCAAAACAAACACACAACAGGAACCAGGATGTGCTGCTACAGCGTCACTATCTTCCATTTCATTATCGCTCCTTCTAAACTGACCTTCACTTAGCTTCAAGTTGTGGGTGTTTGGTTTACATTTACTCCTCATACGTCATATTTAACCTGATCATTATCATCAAAACAGTCTAGAAGCCTCTCGATTCTGTTTCTTACCAGACTGATGAGGCGTCTCATGGCGTATTCCTGAGTGCAGATACACTCACAGGGGTCAAAGCCTCCTTCGGCCATTTCTAATCCAGAAACTGTCCACTCTGAAACAGAAGAGCTGCTATTAGAACGAACACGAACGAGTAAAAGAAGCCAAAGGTTGCTTCTCGACAATGCTGTGCAGTTTTGTTTCTCACACACACATTAGTAGGAGGAGACTGCTCAGCCTGGGACAACCAGACTTCTCTGTTATCTTGATGCATGTTGCCAATGAGCGATTCTGAGTGAATTTATGGGTTAAAACAGTTTTAAAGCTCTAAACTTGGTTTTATTTGCTTATTTTTTTTACTGCTGAAAAGTCAGTATCAACTTAGAAACTGTAAAAAAAAAAGAGAAGAAGTTAAAACCCACCTTGCTCTAGTTTGTACCACGTTTAACAAATCCTAACCGACTCAGAAATGTGATTATGCTCAGTGAGTTTATGATGCATGGCTAACAGTTGTAAAATACAAAGTCTCTCAATAAAACAAAAGGACAAAATCATCTCCATCTTCTACCACTTATCGTTGTCAGGTCACCAAGGCAACAGGTCAAGGAGAGAAATCCAGACCTCCGTTTCCCCAGCGACACTCTCCAGCTCCTCCTAGGGGACCCTGAGGCGTTCCCACACCAGAGAGGGAATATAATCCCTCCAGAGAGCCGAGTCTGCACCGGGGCCTCTTCTTATTGGGACATGCCTGGAACCCTCCAAAGGGAGGCATCAGAATCAGATGAACCACCTCAAGAGAAAATTCATCCTTTCACAATTGTGACAATCAGGTATGTTTCGAAATTAGAGTCTCGTTGTTCACATTTTTCAGATTATTCTGTTAATTTAGCTGCAATCAACATGCTGCCAAGCACAAAAAGACAAAGTGTTTAAAAAATTCCTGCTCGATGGTGTTTCTCTGACACATTCTGTCTGTTTTTATTCTCTGAACTTCAGCTGAGGTTTTACATGTGGTGGTCACCCCACCAGAAACAGGTGCATTTTATCCAATAAGTGCGACACTTACAAGATACTTTATTCCTAGATTAAAACAAAGGATTTTAATGATCTTGTTTTAGTCTTTAATTTATTGTGATAAAACTTATAAAACCTGAGTTTTAAACAATTTAGAATAAAAAGAAAGTTACCCTTCCACAATGTTGCTCTAGGACAATTACCACCGTAAATAGCTTTATACCAACCTTATAGTAATAATTAGTGAACTTTAATTTAAATTTGAAGCACTTTTACAACCAGAAGGTAATTTTTAAATTCTCATTTGAAAAAAAAAAAAGGAAAAAGTGTTTTACAAAAAGATTTGTACGTTTGGATTTGTAAAACAAATTTACTTTAAAAGCACTGAACTGCAACACTCTTTGCTCTGTTTTTGTTTATATCTGGAACTATTAAAGGAAATTTTGGACATTTTCTTACTCAACTGTTACAATTTTATTAATCTACCATAAAATATAACACTTTTTTAGGTGTAAAAAAAAAAAAAAAAAGTAGTTTAAATAAAAAATAATTCAAATGGTCCTGCATTTCAGGGCAAAGTGCAAAAAACCAAAACACTTGGGTTAAAAGTCAAACAAAGATTATTTCAGGCATGCATTGTTGTTTTTATTCAGCCCAATGCAATAATATTGAATGTATTATTTAAATGTCAGTTTGGTAAATTACGAAAAGCAGCAGATGCTGTCTTTCTTTCCAGACTACATTTACCTGTATTCATCTTGAATACACTTTATAAAGATTCCAAACCACGTTTTATCACTTATGCACATTTATTTTGGTATTTTCCCCCAACAAAGCACTGTAATTATTTCCCAGCACCCACAGGAAGTGACAAACAGTATAAATGATATATAAAGTTTCGCATTGCTCAGTTGTTACTCATCATTTGGCTTTTAGCTTGTCCAGCAAAAATGTAAAACTCAGAGAAGCAGACATTGTTAACATCTGCAGAAAGTGCGTGTTAATCTTAACACACTTAAACTCTGAGCTCTCAAAGTAGGAATCATTATTTTCTACCAATCAGATGTGTTAACATTAGCACAGCTGTGCTCTCAAACGCATTAGCTTAACTAGCTTCCTGAGGCTAGCAAAAACTCAGCCATATTGCTTATTTTATTTTTTACATTTGACTGATTCATGCGGAAAATATGTGACGGCAAACGGAATGAAAAAGAGACTTACTCGAGCTTCGTGATTTCCAGAAATAACCCGTATCGTTAGCGGGCCCAAGCTGCTCTGCCGCAGCTGTGTTGTCGCCCAAAAAGTCCGTCAAACATCAGACACGTCAAACATCTCTCCTTGTTTTGTTTACTGCACGTGAGCCAGCCGTCGGTCGGTTAGCCAACCAGCGACTCCCATTTCCGAACTCTCCGCCCAAACGCGAACGTCAGAAAAATCGGCGTCTGTTATTGGTCCAAATATTTGATGGGCGGGAATTTTAACCAATCACAGCACCGAGAGTCATCTGGCTAATAAACAAACAGTCCAGCTGCCAACATGCACTTGGACAACATCTGTTCCATTGTGTAACTAATTTTATGGTCAGAGGACACTTTATATAAGAAAATACACGGGACTACTTCAGTTTAAGGCGGTTTATACCTCTCTTTCAGATTTTACACCTTTTTTTTTTTACACTGTGACCATGTCACCCACCATGGGACAGTCAGTCTTAACTTCTCCATTACCCGTTGAGGAAGGTTTCTTTGTCTTTACACCTAAATGCCAATTTTAAAAGCTTCTTAGTTGGTCAGCATTACAGTATTTTGCAATCAAACTTCTTCCACAAACTTTGCAGTATTTTAGCCGTTTACATTTCAAAACGTTCAGCTTGATCAGAAATAGAGTACTATGATTTTTAGTATTTAAAATACTATGTATACTTTTTCCAATTAACTGACTGCATTTATTGCATTTACTGCATTTATAAAAAACAAACCTTGAGATTAAATTGTTCAGAAACATTGCAATATGAAATCTACTTCAGTAATCCACAAATTATTGTTTTAATACATTTAGATTTTAGCTACTATTTTGCCAGTTTTATCTTTTAGTAGTGCTTTTGCTCATTTTTATACTGAAGCAAAACATTTTTTTAGTAGTCATTCCCTCAGCATTAACTCTGTGTTTTTGCAGAAAATGCTTTTCCCGGTTTACATTGTAACACTTGTTAAAACAAACAAACAAACAAACAAACAAACAAACAAACAAACTAACTAACTAACTAACTAACTAACTAACTAACTAACTAACTAACTAACTAACTAACTAACTAACTAACTAACTAACTAACTAACTAACTAACTAACTAACTAACTAACTAACAACTAATAAAGTCGCCCAATGACATCAAAGTCAAACCCTGACCTGCTGAAACCAAATATGCCCAGGATAAAAGTTCTGATGGGGAAGTGGGGGAAAGGTTTGTAGCCCATCATGTGTAGTCAGTCAGTTAGTCAAACAGTCTTTCAGTCAGTCATTTAATTTGTCTGTCAGTCCATTAATAAGACAGTTTTCCAGTCAATTAATCAGACAGTCTTTCAGTCAGTCAGCAAGACTGTCAGTCAGTCAGTCTGTGAGTCAGTTTAGCATTCTCAGTCAGTTAATCAGTCAGTTTATCAGTCAGTCTTTCAGTGAATTAATCAGCCTGTCAGTCAGTCTTTAAGTCCGTCAATCAACAGTCAGACTTTCAGTCAGTGAGTCATTCAGTTGGTCAGTCTTATAGTCAGGCAGTCAGCCTTTCTGTCAGTCAGTGAGTCAGTCAGTCTTTAACTCAGTGAGTCTTTCAGTGAGTCAGTCTAACTCAGTGAGTCTTTCAGCGAGTCAGTCAGTCTTTAACTCAGTGATTCAGTCAGGTAAACAGTCTGACAGTCAGTGAGTCAGTCAGGTAAACAATCAGTCAGTCTTTAACTCAGTGAGTCTTTCAGTGAGTCAGTCTAACTCAGTGAATCTTTCAACAAATATGTCAGTCTTTAACTCAGTGAGCCTTTCAACGAGTCAGTCAGTCAGTCTTTAACTCAGTGAGCCTTTCAGCGAGTCAGTCAGTCTTTAACTCAAGTCAGTTAGTATTTCAGTGAGACAGTCAGGTAAACAGTCAGTCAGTGAGTCAGTCAGGTAAACAATCAGTCAGTCTTTAACTCAGTGAATCTTTCAGCGAGTCTGTCAGTCT